AACCGCTCTCAATCAGAGATAAAGGACTATCTATGGAAGTATAAAGTACTCATTTGATGTAATATTTGATCTAACTCTGGCCTTTCTGGACAATTTTTCAGAGGTTATCTAGTAGGCTCTCGCCTATAGTTGAAACATTGCGTTCCCGTTTTTCTTGTTTCCTGTGGAATGGGGAAACCCATGCCTCACCAAAGCTTCTTACAGTTTTTTAAAGTATTAGTTCAGGTTTTGTATTCCTGAAGAAAGTTTCTTCGCTCTAGAGTTGCCACAGTTATCCAAGTAAGATCGTGTCATCATTTACAAGTATAAAGTCCACTTCTTTGTAATGCAGATTTTTCAGAAGATCCCTTTCCAATCTTGTGGTCAGGATTGATGTTTCGGGTAGATTTGTCTATGATTATGTAAGTTTTCTTTTTCTTTTTAATTTGCTTTAGAAAAATCCCTGTCGTTGTTTTTGCGGCTGGTATGAGATGCTATTATTTTTTCATCAGTTGCCTGTGTGAGCTTCTGGCGTCATTTTATTGACCTTTCAAAAATCATCTTTCATTTCTTATTTTTTTTGTGGGTTGAGCTTGTTTTTGTTTGTATGTATTTAAACTTTAGAGAGGGGGGATCAATGACATTCTTTTCTCTGCTCTTCGTGTGGTAGGTCTTCTGGAAAAAAAAATAATAGTACTGGTATTTATAATAGTTAGTGGCGTCGGTAGTCCAGTGGTTAGGCTACCGGACTCGTAATCATGAGATTGCGGGTTCGGGGGTTCGAGCCACAGCTCGGTCCAACGTTGTGTTCTTGGGAAAGGCACTTTACACGAACTTCTCACTTGGCTCGGTCCTAGCGGAGACGGACGTTATACTAGGAGGCCCCGCCTCTTATATAACGTAATAATGTTGATAGGGGCGTTAAACTCATACCATTTCACCTTTTTATAACTTGTTTGTCAAGTACACTTGAACCTGCTCTGATGACCACCTGTCCAAGACAATCAACAATCATTTGTACAGACAAAACTCCCCC